GGACTAGGCTTGTTGGGATTTTTTATCGGGTAAATTAAAAAAAACCCATATTACTATAAATTTTTAAAAGTTGACCATCGATAATTTCCACAATTTCAAAATATGTTATAATATCTAAAATAAATCCATTTTTAAACAAACTGATAGCTCATTTATTGCAATCGCATAAAAATTGTCGAAGTTAGGCGACTTTTCTTAAATACGGCCTTGATTTTATATTGTTTATTTACCGCAATTTCAGATTTTTTGAGCACTGTGGCTAAGGAATTCATCAACATTTACTCAAAATATATGTATACAATCGCTCTTTAGCAAAGAAGTGGCTTTTCAAGAAATTTTAGGAAAATTTCACATTGTGCTTAGCCTCCTTAAGTACTATCTTAAATATTTTTGAAATCGAATCATCCTCATGATGAATAAGATTGACACATTTTTTTCGATTTTTGTACTGCGCTGCTGAACCATGTGTAAAATGCATTATCTCGTTGATCAATATTTCTTTTTCCTTTAGGAAAGCTAATACTTTTTTTGATAAAGGTCCACAGCAATTATTGTTTTTCCATTCACGAACAAAATAGCGGTCCGAGTCGCTTTCCGTCTATCACAACATGATCGATTTGCTTTCTCGTTTTTCGATCCGGAGACAGCCGCGTAGCTTAGACCGCTGTTGGACGTTTCGTCGTGGAGGCTGAATTTTCCGACAGTGGTTCCAAAGATCCCTACCTTGGCCACCCTAGCATTGAAGTCGCCAAGCATGAAGAGATCCTTGGATACCTCATCCTTCTCTTCTGTCTGGGCATGGGCGTCGTTGAGCGAGATGTTGAAGAATCTCGCTTTGATGCGGCTTATGGCTAGACGCTCGTCTACCGGGGTGAACGAGAGTACTCGGCGACGGAGGCGCTCTCCCACCACAAATCCAACACCGAATTTGCGCTCCTTTATATGTCAGCTTACACGGCAGTTGTATGAGACGTCACAAGGCCCGAGGCATTGTTTGCCTTGCCCTGTCCAATGCATTTCTTAGATGGCAGTGATGCCAGCTTTTGTTCTTACCTGCCGGGCAGAGGCACCTTCCCCAGTTTGTATGACGCATCCCACAATAACGCGGCGCTAACGCCGAGCAAATGGAACTTGGGTGCAAAGGACGAAAAGAAAGGGAAAGGACAAAAAAGTGAAAGAGGAAACTGGAATGAAACGAGAGGAAATGAGAAAACGTCAAAAATTGAGCCGCGTTGATTTGGGGATATCGCGCGCTGACACTTGTGGACAATGGAAAACGCAACGCTTGGCGCTCCAATTTAGGGACAGCAGTAAGAAGTCACCTACGCAAACTCGGGATCTGTATCGAGAGATGAAGTAACCCGAATGCTGAATCCGCAGCCGAATCACATGCAGTCGATGTCGCCAAACAATCTGAGGGATTTCCTCAGAGAGCTAGGACCGACCGACCGAGGTGCTGCAAAGAGCAAGAGAGCAAAAGAGATTTCCTGCGCCCAGTGCATACACCAACTGAATATCTCCATATCTATCTATGCATGTGCTAATATTCTCATACAAACGGATACATATCTGAGTATGTAGGTACTTACATACACATAAGCATGTAAGATACTTTCGTTTTTTTTAAGTATTTTATTTGTATTATCCATGCTCTTCTTTGTATTTTTCCATGGATTACTTGGTTAATATATGGATATCTCTATGCATATATGCATATAAATATATATGTATGTATATATTGGTTTATGTACATACATCCGTACGCATTGGATGTACTTACATATACAGATGTACGACTATGTAAATGAAAGAACGAAAAGTGCAATGTAGCAATTAAATATTTAAGAGAACAGTGGCGAAATACCTTGGAGAGCGAGGGCAAACATTGACAAAACGTATAAAAAAAAAAAAAAAAAAAAANCTTTTCATTATAGCAACGAAATCAAAATAGTTATGTACTGAGATTTTTGGTGGTAATTTAAAATGGGTCCAATTCACGTAAACCCTAATGTTTTTTCGAAATAATTAGCGGAAGTCTTAAAATTTAATAAATTGTATGGTTCCGGTGGAAACCCCGTACTTTTTTTTCTAAGACACCCTAATGTACATATGTATGTTTTAGGATTCTTGCACCATGCAATTTTTCGTTTTATACTCGTACTGACGTTCATAAACTATTTTTTGAATAGAATTTTTCCAATTTTTCCCCATGATTAATAGCAGTAATGCATTAATTTAACTATTTTTTTCTTGTGACTACAACTTTTTTGAAATATTAAAATATGACTCTTAAACGAAGGAGATTTAAGAAGAATTTAGTTTAAACATATTTTTGATTAGGGTTGCCACCTGCTCGAAAAGTTGTATCTTTGTAACAATATTTAAATATATACCAAATGTAATTTTTTGCGAAGGCTGTCAGATTTGCACTGTTATTTTTGAGGTTAAAATTTCTCTTTTCGAGGAACGGGTGATTGGAACCAAATCTTTTCTTTGTAATTTTAGAAAATTTCTCTTATCTCTTAACCAATGATTTCGGCTATTGAGTAGGCTAACTACTTCATTAAACTTCATTAAAAAGCTAATAAATTCAATTAAAGTTGTCCCCTAACATTTCGGACTTGATATAGTGCAATGAAAATGAATAAGTACCTATACATAAAAGAGAAAATTAATCTACATAAAAGCCATAACATAGGCTATATCTCCTGCATAAGTTAACTAAAAAACCCATTTGGAGCGATCAAAGGGAAGAAAACAAAAAAAGAAAATATATGTATAAATAAATAAACGACCAGAACTCATGAATGTGAAATTTCGTATTTTAATGTAGGTTATGTGTACTGTGCGAATGTCAACTGCAACGGCACATCACGAAGCATGCAAAAAAAATTTAAAAGGACAAGAAAAAAGTGCATCCATGGATACAAACGTAGTGCAACGGTAAAAGCATAAAAGTCGGACACGACATTAAAAAGTGCGAGCGTGAAGACAGAGGCTCACCCCCATGTACATATGTATGAATGTGTTTAAATATGCATCACACGCACACATAAATAAACGACTATCAAAACGTAACTGCAACGACACCGCTGAGAATATTTACAACGTAAAAGCATAGCGTTTTCTTTTTTGGTCTGTACGAGCATGTGAATATGTTACTCCCGTGGGTGGGGATGCCGAGTGTAAAAATTTCCAATGACGTCACAAACGGCATTCAATGTGTTCTCCACACACACACACACACAAACTTGCTTGCACACCACAACCGATGTATTGCATATGTATTTATATGCGTCTATATGTTTGACTTCTTCATAATAGTATACCAACTGCATAAACGCAGTGGTGTCCCCACCGGAGCTAACCACGTAGTTATGGCTATTGAGTTGGTTATCCCGATAACCCACTTGATTTAGCGTAGTTTCGCCATATAAAAATGACAGCACTTAACCATTTCACTGAGATGGTTAAAAGCTAACCAACTCGAAACCACGTCGAAAGTCTGATACAACCCTGTGTTTTCCCGCCATCTGTGGGTCATTAGCGTTAAAATGTAAAGAATTCGTTCCCTACTAGTGTTTGGACTCAACTAAGATCAGATTAGATTTACTCCGGTTTTTGAAAAAATTTTAAATCTACTCCTCTACTCCGCTTGACTTCAAATCTATTCCGTTTTTTTCATTCATG